CTTAGTGTGCCTCAGATCCTCAGGATTGAGAGAAAATTCTGTGTTATCTGTCCCAGTGGAGGGTTTTGGAGAGGCATGTAGATGATGGGGGAGGAGAAGGAGGAGGCCTGGCCTGAGAGATCAGAAGGACTTGTTAGACCAGTCCTGTGTGTGTGTCATACATGCTAGAGAGAAGCAGGTTTAGTTTCTTTCCATCCCCTTTCAGTCCAGGGCCCCCTCTCTAGCTGAGAGCCACACCCTTCCTTTGCTTCAAAGCTAGTCATCATTAGCCATTTTAGTATGTTATGGTGGGGGGTAGTCGGGGCGGGGTTTCCAGAATACTTGAGAGGGGAAGAGAGCAAGAAAAATGTTCCATTTGGTTTCCAAATTTGCGGTTAAGATGATAGAGCTGATTTTTTAAAAAATGTTAAGTCTCAGTAAAACTTTAAATTCTGACAGATAATTTTGGGCTAGCTCAACTTCCTTTTAACAAGTATTTAAAATTTTTGTATATTATTTTTCTTCTTTTCTTTGATACCCCAAGTAGATAGAATGTATCATTCTTTGACAGATTTCCTTAAGTCACCAAAGAGATTCATGGTAGACACAGTGAATCTTTATTAGAGTGAAACTCCTTCAGTCAACCTTTTGCATGCTCTTAAGGGGAGGAGAGCCTAGCATAAAAAATCCACAGGGAAGTTCAGAAATTGTTAGCACCTAAACAAGGCCATTTCCAGAATATCAGTTTAGTAACTATGAGAAATGCTCAGTTGAAATGAGATTGTGAAGTAAGCAGAGTTCTCTTTAGCCTTAATGCAAATCATGCCAGGTTTTTAGGGTTAGTGCAGGAGTGAGACTGAAATACTAGAATTGTCTGACTGAGCTTCTGGAACATTAAATGGTGGTGGTGGTGATGGTGAGGTTACTTAGACTTTGGACTGTGGTACAAGCACTCCTTGTGATAAACTATGGGAAAACTATTGACAGAATATATTATTTTAAAAGTAAAATGGCAATTTTCTCTTGTGGTTGAACAAGAATAATTGCTTTGAATTTTGGGACAAATGCCAATTAAGGGAAATTAGTACTTGTTAGGTATCTAGAAGACCTTCCTACCTTTCTTGGCTTGAATGTATATAATGTAGTTCTGTAATATTACAGTTACTATATATAAATATATATATATATATATATATATTTAAAATGTTTTTATTAATTTCAGAGGAAGGGGAAGGGAGAGAGAGATAGAAACATCAATGATGAGAGAAAATCATCAATTGGTTGCCTCTTGCCTCCTGCAACCTGGGCATATGCCCTTGACAGGAATCGAACCTGGGACTTTTCAGTCCTCAGGCTGACACTCTTTCCACTGAGCCAAGCCAGCGAGGGCCAGGTGCTGTATTTTATTGGTCAGTATTCTTCAGTGGGAGGGGGCTCAGTATGCTTTAAAAAAGCAATTTAAAATATCTAGGATGACAGGAGAGGAGTTTTGCTTATCATTGCTTTTACAAGGAGAGCATAACTTTGTGACATTGGTTTTCATTTCATAATGAATAAATAGGAAGAAAGGATGAAAGCTGATTTGGGGGCTGGCAATAGATAAAATTTCTTAAGGGCTCAAAGACTATTTTGTGGGGTTTAGAATTCTTAGGACAAATAATTTTCTTCTCTTTTCTTCAGAGGTTTGCTTGTCTAAGTCTGATCATATCTTTGGATATACTTACCTGAATTGCATGGAGGTACAGAAAGGTTCCTTAGAACCCAGTTATGTTCTTGATTCAATTACTTTTACCTACTAGTACACAAAATACTTTTGGGCTGAGGCATTACCATTAAGTAATGTAAAGGGAAGATAGAAACTAGCTCTTGAAACAACTTAAAACCTCATATTTGTATAGCATACATTATCTCACCTTATCCTACAGCAACTCTGAGTTAAATGGGCTAGTGTATTGGGATTTTACTGAGAACATGGCAGTGACCTGCTGCCATTGTTGGCTAGTGGCCGAGCCAGGACTGGGACCAGACTTCCGAACCCTATTCTGGTCCTTCACAGCCTCTGCTTCTACTTTCTTTCAGGCAGAAAATTTCTTCATGCCTAGGAAATCTGAAATCTTTCTACTTAACTGTGCTGTCCTTTTCTCCAAATTTTAGTCAAGTGGTCAGCTTTTAAAGCCTTGAAGCTAGGAAAAGATACTGCTTCCTGACTTACAGCCCTGAGTAGTTTTCCTACTATTTTTCCTAACTCCCTTTATTGAAGTAAAGTTGTGAGGGCAAAAAGTGGCCATTTATGACAGGGTGACAGACTATTTATCTGTGTAGTGGGGAGTGTTGTCACTGTATGCCCTATAGTAGTGGTAGTTTGAGCTTCTATTAGCAAAGAAAATTACAGGGTAGAGGCTGCCAGAGTGGTAACTGCAGTTCAGGCCCTGTTGAAATCCAGAACTGGAAGAATCTCTCTTGAACTCTTGGTGTGGAAGGTTCATAGGTCATTGTAATAGCGGATATGGCAAGTGCTTAAAATGAAGAAATGGAAATGAAAAGGGAGCAACATTAAAAAACAAACAAACAAACAAGGGTACTTATTAAAGCCATTTGAGTATACTGTTGGAATGTAGGGTGAGAATATGAAAAAGTAACAGTGGGCTTTGGAATGAAAAGAACAGAGGTTGGTAAGTGATTGTGGGAGCACAGAACTGGAAATGGGAAGAATTTAGAAAGGGCTACCACATTCTTGTATTTAGGGACTGGATCCACTGGGAGAAGTCGTAGTGATGGGAACTTAAATAGGGAGTTTATTTGGCACTCATCAGTTACTCTGGGTATTCTTGCTTCCTGAATGCTCCATGTACAGGCATACCTCATTTTATTGCACTTCACAGATATTGTGTTTTTCACAAATTGAAGCCAAGATCCTCCACCAGCAAAAAGATTACATACAACTTGCTTTATTACAGTGATCTGGACCTGAACTGCAGTATCTCTGAGGTATGCCTGTATACTAAAGCAAAGAGACCCAAGTGTGCTTGGTGGGGCTCTGGAGAGCGTGGGAAAGGGAACTGAAGCAAAGCCTAGGCTAGTCTCCACATGTCTTCCCTACTATACTATTGCCCTGGTTTCTCAATATCTTTGTGGGCATGCTGGGACTGGGCTTTGAGGTTTCTGTCTAAGGAGGGGGAAGGGCATTCCAACATGCCCTTTTTTTTCTTTCTTTCTTTTTCTTTCTTTCTTTTTTTTTTTTTTTCTCTTTTCAATTTGGTTGCTGAGACCAGGGGTAAGTGAATTTTTATTCATATTATAACCTGCTTCTGATTCTGTATGTAAGTACAAGTAGAGGAACCTCTGATATGACAGTAGGATCCAGGTTTTAATGAAAGCTACATCCAAGGTCCAGGTATCTGAAAACAGAGCAAAGTCCAAAGGATGTTTGTCACATCAAGCAATTCCCAGTCATATTTTCAGTTATTCCCTTTCATTCCAAGATTGCCTTTCTCCCAGTACCTGCCCATGCTCTTTTTATTTTTTAATGCATTGGGTATGTTTATTTCTTCTCTCATTTCTATTTTTCCTCCAAATATTTCTGCAGCTTTCTCCTTCCTGCTTCCTCCTTGCTGTGGTGGCTGGGATGCTTCTCCCATGATTTTTCGAATCTAGACTGGGCTGTTCTCTGTGTTAAAACAATCAATTACGACCTTCTCTTAACAGGTGTGTATGGAAATATGTTTATTAAGAATAAAAAATTTAAGTGCCTTTTTTTAAGGGGTTGATGAGAGGGTGGGAGATAAAGGAAAGGATTTATTCTAAAATCTGCCCTTCAACATGGTATATTTTGGACTGGCCATAAAGTTTGCCATAGCCAGCATGCAAGAGAGAAACCCCATTAAGCTCAACAGTATGACTACAATGCCCCTCCATTTACTAGCCAGCTTACAGTTTATGTAATATGGTATGGGAAACTCTTCATTTCTATTTAACTGTCATTTATTTTATAAGTATTACATATAAACCTTGTAGATGTTTTGATATTACCTAGAGTGTAGGATAAGTAAAGAGGTAAAAATATAGTCTGTTTAGAGCTTCTGCTGAATAACAGAGGTGTAGGAAGTTTTAGACATTGCTTATCTGATATTACAATATGAACTACTCTGAGGGATGGTTTCCTAGTTTGAGCCCAATGTTTCTTTTCTTCCACAAGAGCTGAAGGACACTGAAAATTGTGCCTTTTTACACAAGTTTGTTTGGTGGCTGTCTTGCTTTCTTGTTTGTTAGCCAAGGCACATGTTTTGCCCCCAGTACTGTAGTATAGTTTTGAAAAGTAGAAAGCCCCCCTCATAAATGTATTAAATATGAGGGCCTTAATTTTGTTTCCTAGCTTTGTTGGTGGGAAGTTTTTTCTACTACTTCACTTTTTATTGGTCTTTTAATTAGCATATTCATTTAGTATATTTTGCCACCAATGGAGCAGTTTCAGTGTTCAGTTTTGGATGAGATTTTAAGTAAGATTTATAACTGTCCCTTTATCTCTAGAAGTGGCTTGTCCCTTCAGGACAATAAGTGATTATTTGTACAACTTCCATTAAGTTGATGCCAGCAGAATTTTCCAGAAAAAAGAATATAATTTTAATCTCATGTCATGACTATAGCACTTAGCCACATTATTCCTCTCCCACCAACAGTGTAGAGACTGGGATCTAGTTGTACCTTACCTTTCAGTCGTTATTTCTGAAGGGGTGTTAAAAGGGATAATGGGCAAAGGATTCTACTTGAGCAGACACTGGTGATGGGCTCTCAGACTTGGTGGTGGCTCGCTTTCTGCACTGCAGTAAAAACCACAAGAAGGCATCTTTGGCTCTGGGATGAATAATCCATCTGTCTTCTCTGACCTGTGATCTTTTCTCTCCTCTCTCTTGCCTTCTCCCCGGTAGTGTGACGTGAGGGGGGACCTTCTCCCTCCTTCTTCCTCCCTCTGTGATCCACCTTCCTTTTTACCCTGCCCTGCTGCGGCTCTGCCCCTTACCTTCATGGACGACTCAGAGGTGGAGTCGACCGCCAGCATCTTAGCCTCTGTGAAGGAACAAGAGGCCCAGTTTGAGAAGCTGACCCGGGCGCTGGAGGAGGAACGGCGCCACGTCTCGGCGCAACTGGAACGCGTCCGGGTCTCACCACAAGATGCCAACCCACTCATGGCCAACGGCACCCTCACCCGCCGGCATCAGGTAACCCCTCTCTCCATCAGACCTGCAGGTAGGACTTTGGCCTGGTCATAGAGAGGCTGTGATTGTTCTTGGAAACTACTTTCCTCATGGTGATGGGCTGTCCCAGAGCTCATGCTTTATGATGAATCTTGACAAGGAAAACAGATATTAAGAGTTAGGGAATATGTTGCTGCTGTGCTGAGTTGGGTGCACTTATCTCTAGAAGCATCTACCTCATTTCCAGTTTTGCTGGAGTGAGATTTCTGGGTTGGTATGCAATTCAATGAAAAAAAAAAAAAAGTTTTATTGGCTTAAGAGAGAGAGGAAGAGAGAGGGAGAGAGAAATGTAGATGAGAAACATCGAATGGCTAACTCCTGCACACTCCCCACTGGGAATTGCAACCTTAGGCATATGCCCTGACGAGGAATCATCCGGTGACCTACTGGTTCATGGGTTGATGCTCAATCACTGAGCCACACCAACTGGGCTGGTATGCACTTCTAATAATAGTAGATCATATAGTTTAGAGTTGTACTCAGGTTACTTCTGTTCTCTCTGATCTCCTATCCCTCCACCTTAGTATCAGAAATTCAGGAAGGTAAATGCTTGCTTGTGGTCAGGAAAGTTGGGCACCTTGTACTCTCAACTTCAATTCAGTCTCCTTCAGGGAACAGTATGTACTCAGGAGGTGTGGCAGTGTTCATAAATTGTGTATTCCTGTTCCATATTGTTCTTGTGTGATCTTTTTGTTGGCTGTGCAAATCATGTCTTGGAGGAAGGGGTCATTGTTAATCTTGTTGGTTAAAGTTGGAGAGGGAGCCTCATGCTCTAGTTTAACTTAGATAGCCACAGGAGCCAGTGGTCTCTGGGTTGGCTGGCTCTGTGATGTGACTTGGGAGATTTGGTGTTAGAAATAAGAAGTATCTTGTGTTTCTTACAATTTCTCTAGTCTGACCTTGCTATGATGTAATCTGTCTGAGGTGTGTGTGTGTGTGTGTGTGTGTGTGTGTGTGTGTGTGTGTGTAATCTCTAGGCATTACCTGATAGACTGCATCTTAAGAGATTTCTGATGGGAACTAAGAACAGTGCTCATGCTTCAGTAGCCCTTTTTACTGATTTCTTAATTATTTTTAAGACAGAGAAGACAGAATTCCTATTGGGGGATGGTCAGGAATTTGAAGGCAGTATGTTTGTAACATTCCTAGAATTTTTATAAACACCAGAATAGAGGGTTAGGGATGAGAGGCGTATATTGAAAGGGGAGAGCAAGATTGCTCAGGCTTGGAGGTGGTGGGGAATTCCAGGATTTATAGTATATAGTTTCCCTGTCTTTCTCTTTTATTTTTAACTTCTGCTCAGCAATGAAACCACACCCTTCCTTCTTCCTGAAAATAATGTTTAACTTCCTCTCCCTACAGCATTACACACTCTATGTAATGGGAGTAGGGTGGGGGAGGAATCTCCCAAGGTGGCTGGATCTCACTGTATTATATTGGAAGAGGAGCAGTCAAGTGTATTTTATGTAGTATAATGTCAGTAGTCTATTTCCTGCAGTTTAAGACAGAACGATGTAAGGGTGACATTTTTTAATGTGTTCTCTGGCTTTAATAATTAATGATGAAGATGTTGAGACATCTGTTTGCTTGAGGGGAGTTGGGGGTACTTGCTTTCTTCCTATTTTGAAAGGGAGACTCATAGCTCATGCTTCTTTCTTTAAAAAGCTGCCTGGTATGGGAGTTTTCAGTAGTAGAGCAATAAAGGTGGCTTTTGGAAACTCCCCAACCTAACTTTTCCAACTTTTCTTATATTCGTATGGCTTTCCAAAAAGATAGTGTTCTGGGAAACTTACAAGTCTCAGCTATTTATTTGGCAAATAGTTTAAGTGCCTATTATGTGCCAGGCACTGTACAAGGCATAAAGGGGTACATTATTAAACAGAACTGGCGACCCCATCCCCCCAAACTGTCTGCCCTCATGGAGCTTGCATTCTTATGTTCCAGAGATCCAGTCTGCCAGAGTTCCAGGTCTGATTCCAATTTTGAGAAAGTGCTAAGACTAAGGAGTGATGTGGTTCTTTTATGAGTATTCACAGAAGGACTCCAGGCCACAAATACCTTCTTGAAAGCCCTTTTCCTGTTTGGAAAAAAAGATCATTTGTGTTTGATAGAGCAAAGGAAGGCCACAAAATGAATTGTCTTCTTTGGGCTATGTTTCAGAACGGCCGGTTTGTGGGCGATGCTGACCTTGATCGACAGAAATTTTCAGATCTGAAACTCAACGGACCCCAGGTAATTCTTTGGGTTTAAGGTTTGGGTTGCATCATGTGTATCTTCATATTTCCCCATCCTATAAGAGTATACTGGTGTCTTGTTAAGTGTCTGGCACACGGTAAGCACCCATTAATTGGTTTCTTCTATTTAGGAAAATAAAACAGTGGAGCTTCAAAGAATATAACTTTTTATTTTGGGATAAATTTTAATGACCATTGATTCAGTATTTGATCCCTCAATTACTGTATCCCCTTTCTAGAATGGGTGTGAGCCTACTTTGTAGAAAATCCTACCTAAACTCTGGCTGGTCTTGAGCTGTAGGCAGTATCTGAAGGGTAACAGAGTTAGAAGGCTCTTAATTGAGATTTTTTGGTTAATCTTAAAAGTTCTTGTTAGAACTGGGAAATTATATCTCCTGTACAAGTTCAAAAGATGGGAACAGCCACCACTCTAAAGTCCTGGGGCCCATAGAAGATGCATTAGGATGCATTAGGAGTCTCTCTTCAGGAGACAGTACTCCTCATTGGGATGGCTTAATAGTAACTCTTTTTTCCCCCCTTCTCTTTTCTATAGGATCACAGTCACCTTCTCTACAGCACCATCCCCAGGATGCAGGAGCCAGGGCAGATTGTGGAGACTTATACGGAGGAAGACCCTGAGGGAGCCATGTCTGTTGTCTCTGTGGAAACGTCGGATGATGGAACCACTCGCCGCACAGAGACCACAGTAAGCTAAGATTTATAAGGTCTGGGATTTGTATGAGGTCTTCCTATGGTTTCTATTAGGGGAAGGATTAAGCACTTAATTAAGGTGGGCAAAGGGCCACTGATCTGTAGTGAAAGCAAAAGTGATATCTATCCAGACATAGAAGATAGGTGAGATATGAGAAAATGGAATGGAGTGGAGAAGAGAGAAGGTGTATCAGGATCTACAGTAGGTATTCGTATTGGCATACTTACTGCAAGGGCAGTTTGCCTGTCTGGGGACTTCCTATAAGGTGGGGAGAAGGATAAGAAACATTTCTATGTAAATATGTAAAGTGAGCTAGAGATAGGGGTTTCTTGCTTAGAGTAATTTAGAATTTAAGCTTATATTCTATACTTCATTAATTTTTCTTTAAATCCTCATCCCGAGGACATTTTCATTGATTTTTTTTTTTTTTTTTTTTTTTTTTTTTAAGAGATATGGGTTGTGTTGAGAGAGAGAGAAAGAGAGAAGAAGAGGTAAAGAAACATCCATGTGAGCCCTGGTCGGCTTGGCTCAGTGGATAGAACATTGGCCTGCAGACGGAAGGGTTGCAGGTTTGATTCCCATCAAGGGCGTATGCATGGGTTGCAGGCTCGATCCCCCGTAGTGGGTATGCGGGAGGCAGCCGATCAGTGGTTCTCATTGATGTTTTTGTCTCTCCCTCTCCTTTCCTCTCTGAAATCAATAAAAATATATTTTTTAAAAAAGAAACAGAAACATCCATGTGAGAAACACTGGTTGGTTGTCTCCTGCATTTGCCCTGATTGGATCAGGGATCGAACCCACAACCTGAGATCTCTTGGTGTACGGGACGATGCTTCTACATACTGAGCTATGCTGGCCAGGGCTTCATTAATTTTTCTTTTTTCTTACCTAAAGGTCAAGAAAGTAGTAAAGACTGTGACAACTCGGACAGTACAGCCAATCCCTATGGGACCAGACGGACTGCCTGTTGATCCTTCATCAGTTTCTAACAACTATATCCAGACACTGGGTCGTGATTTCCGTAAGAATGGCAATGGGGGACCTGGTCCCTATGTGGGGCAGGCAGGCACTGCTACCCTTCCCAGGAACTTCCACTATCCTCCTGATGGATATAGCCGCCACTATGAAGATGGTTATCCACCTAGCAGTGACAACTATGGCAGTCTGTCCCGGGTGACCCGCATTGAGGAACGGTATAGGCCCAGCATGGAAGGTTACCGGGCACCTAGTAGACAGGATGTCTATGGGCCACAGCCCCAGGTTCGGGTAGGTGGGAGCAGCGTAGATTTGCATCGCTTTCATCCAGAGCCTTATGGTCTAGAAGATGACCAACGTAGCATGGGCTACGATGACCTGGATTACGGCATGATGTCTGATTATGGCACTGCCCGTCGGACTGGCACCCCCTCTGACCCTCGCCGGCGCCTCAGGTAAGCAAGAAAATGGGAAGGAAAAGATTGCTCTTTCTTTCCCTTCTTATTACCTTATGGTTTCCTTTCCTTTGCTTTTTCTTGTGGAAGTCCACCCTGTTCTTCCCTTTTCTGATTTAAATAAGTAGCAACTTGCTTTTTTCCCCTCTTTTAAAAGTTACAGATTCTAATGATAAAGAACAGTTTGTGATGATTATTGGTCTATGTCCTAAACTGTGGCTGTTGCTTTTCGCCAAGAGTTTCTGTTATTTCAGTCTAACATCTGGCTCCCTTTGGTGATAGGGAGCACCACAAAGGAGCCTGGTGCCTGGGACTAGGGAATATTCACTTGTTTCTGAGCTTCTGGTTTGTTATTACGAACAGAGTTAAGGGTTTTAGGCTTTCAGGGTCAGAATAGACAGGAATGAGAACCTTTTCTGTTGTGATTTTAGTCTTAAAAACAAATCTTTAAAAAAAAAAATAAATTTTATTGATTTTTTTACAGAGAGGAAGAGAGAGAGAGAGCTAGAAACATCGATGAGAGAGAAACATCGACCAGCTGCCTCCTGCACACCCCCTACCTGGGATGTGCTCGCAACCAATGTACATGCCTTTGACCAAAATCGAACCTGGGACCTTTCCGAGCCAAACTGGCTTCGGCTTAAAAACAAATCTTGATCTCACAAAAGCCCTGTAGGTTCTTATAGTTGCTTATAAAGTGAAACCAGAGGTAGTATCCTTAGAGAGTGGTACATTATTGACACTTTGAGAAGCAGCTGTCTACTCTGACTTTCCTACTCATCCCTGGGGATTCTTTGGTGTGTGAAAAAGGGAGTGATTGATATTTGGAATGGTAGATGGTTTGCCTTGAAAGAATGTTTGAGAATGGGGCACACCTTTTCTGTGAAGAACCGTTGCAGGCCATATGTAATTTTTGTTGTATATTGTTATTGTGGTAATGCTCTAAAAAAAAAATTTTTTTTTTTTATTGATTTCAGAGAGGAAGAGAGAGAATCATTGATCAGCTACCTCCTGCACGCCCCACACTGGGGATCAAACCCGCAACCCAGGCATGTGCCCTGACTGGGAATCGAACCGTGACCACTGACTACCTGGTTCATAGGTCGATACTCAACCACTGAGCCATACTGGCTGGTCGAGGTGGTGTTCTTTTAACAATCTTTTATTTTTAAAAAAAAATATATTTTATTGATTTTGTACAGAGAGGAAGGGAGAGAGATAGTTAGAAACATCAATGAGAGAGAGTCATCGATCAGCTGCCTCTTGCACACCCACTACTGGGGATATGCCCGAAACCAAGGTACATGCCCTTGACCAGAATCGAACCCGGAACCCTTCAGTCCCCAAGCCGACGCTCTATCCATTGAGCCAAACTGGTCTCCGCTCTTTTAACAATCTTTTAAATGTAAACACCGTTTGTAGTTCTGGGTTTGGTCCATGAATTGCCAGTCCTGCTTTAGAATAAATCAGAGACAGTGTTTTCCAGTTAAAAGAAATTAAGAAGTAGGGGAGAAGATTTGTAGATGTCTTGATGGTAAGTATAGCCTAGCAGCTGTTGCTGAATTTCTGTATGAGGTCATGACCTTCTAAAAAAATGCTTTGGTGCTGACTTTCCTCATATTAGGTAGCTTTGGTTAACAGTGAACTGGGTTGGTCCCAGGGGTATAGGCTCCATTATCTAAACCAGAGTCACTCCCCTTTCAGGTAACTTGGACTTCTAATCCAACTCCCGTGTGACTCACCTTTTATTCTTGGGTGTGGGGGTGGGCTGAGGGTAATGGGTGGGGCAGCAGACCTTAGCTGGAGCTAGGGTTGTTAACAGCTATCACCTAAGGAGTCTGCCCAGGGTGTTGGCTTCTTCTGATTACTGATTACTGACTAGTCTATGTTTTCTGACTTCCTCATTAGTAGAGCATTGGGCCTAGGCGGGTGTGGGTGACCAGGCCTTTCTCTGCTGTCCCTTGTTGTGATAGTTGACTTAGAAGGGTTTTGGGCCTGGTTCTTGGGTTTGTTCCAATGTGGCATTGGACTTGGAAACCTGCTTGACTAGAAAGAACATTTGTAACTTCCTGTTCCGGGCCTAGGAGAGGAATACAAGGTCAAACAAAAAACAGTAAGGCATAATGATTAGTGAAAAAAGCAGTGAACCAGAAGGTTTTAGTTCTAGTTGTACCTTTGCCACTGGCTCTGTAGCCTCGAGCAAGTCATTTAATCTCTCTGGACACAGCCTTGTTATTGGTAAAACAAAGGAAAGAATGTCATGATCCACTGCTTGTAAAGAAGGACCTATTTCTTGAATGACCAAAATCGTGGTTATTGTAATTACTTATATTAAAATAATAATAAAAATTAAACATGCTCACTCCAAAATGAGAAAAACCAGCACACTAATACTTACTGTTACACTAATAAAGACTTACTGTTAACACTGGTGCATTTTTCCTTTGAGTTCTTTTTCCTATACATGTAAATAGACTCTGACTTTATTTTTCCCCTACTGAAATGGAATCTTTCTGATGTACTGTTTAGGAGCCTACCTTAGAAATTTAGCTATATAACCTGTTCATTTTGTTTCAATGACATTAAAAATGAATGCTTTTTATTAAATGCTTTGTTCATCTAAATTACTGTTGAGTGGTTGATATTGACAGCTATAAGGCCCTCTGCTTAGACTAACCTTGAGGGTTTGGTGACAGTGGGAGTGGTTTTGTGGAACAAACAGTGTGCTTATTTGGAGAGTTCCACACAATAGATTCTCCTTTCTCCTGTGGGAGCCGCAGTGTGAGATGAGCTCAACAGATAATGGGTCTATTCCTTCCTGGTGGTTATGAATAAATGATAGTGTGGCAGACTCACCCTCTAGTGGTTGTTGTCAGTACTGAAATAGGAATAATAATCTCTACCTTCAATTGCTTTGTCTATGTTCTTTTTCTTAGTGACTGGGTATCTAAAAGGTGATAGTAATCAGTAGTCTCTATTTTGACAGAATTGAAGGTATTGCCTTTAGAATTTGAGGGCTGGAAATCAGCCCAACCCATTTGTTGAATAACAGAGGTGACCTTGGGGTGAACTGTGAAAATTAATGTTCAGACTTCTACCTCATATATAACCAGATCCTCATATGATGTAAGAAGCCCTGTACTTTTTTTTTTATTTTAATGTTTTTATTGATTTTAGAGAGAGGGGAAGGGAGATAGAAACAGATGAGAGAGAAACATTGATCATCTGCCTCATGCACGTTTCCTACTGGGGATCAAACCTGCAACCTGGACTTGTGCCCTGAATAGGAATCAAATCAGTGACCTGTTGGATATGTGCCCTGAATGGGAATCAAATCAGATCCCACTAGCTATTTCCTATGTGTAAATGTCTCATTTCCTATTTAGTTATGGGCTTATAATAAGTGTTCTCAGGCATTGTTTGCTGACTTCACTGTGGTGTTGAGTCAGTTGCTTTGGTTAACTGCTGTCTGAAGCTTTATTTCAGTCTATCCAGAGAAGTTAAGCTGTGGGGTAACATTCACTGCTAAGCAGGATTTGGATCTTGTTTTGTGATTAATGTCTCTGAATGCTTGTTAACTTAACAGGAAAAAAAGATAGTTTCAATCTAGTTGAAGATGCCTTTAAAATTATTATTTTATCTCATTAAGAAAAATTGATCGATATATAATTATGCAAAGTAGAGATAAGATCTAGTATACTAGAATTGGGGTTACTCATACCATGAAGAAGAGGAGGTAATGGGAACACTCGGCTTGATATATCCCTTTTTCCTCTTGGTTCTTCCAACACTGCAGGAGCTATGAAGACATGATTGGTGAGGAGGTGCCCTCAGACCAGTACTATTGGGCTCCTTTGGCCCAGCATGAACGAGGAAGTTTAGCAAGCTTGGATAGCCTGCGCAAGGGAGGGCCTCCACCTCCCAACTGGAGACAGCCAGAGCTGCCAGAAGTGATAGCCATGCTAGGATTCCGCTTGGATGCTGTCAAGTCCAATGCAGCTGCCTACCTGCAACATTTGTGCTATCGCAATGACAAGGTGAAGACTGACGTCCGGAAGCTCAAGGGCATCCCAGTACTGGTGGGATTGTTAGACCACCCCAAAAAGGAAGTGCACCTTGGAGCCTGTGGGGCTCTCAAGAATATTTCTTTTGGGCGGGATCAGGATAACAAGATCGCCATAAAAAACTGTGATGGTGTTCCTGCCCTTGTGCGGTTGCTCCGTAAGGCTCGTGATGTGGACCTCACGGAAGTCATTACTGGTAAGCTGTAGGTCTAAATCTAAGGGAAACTGCGAGAATAGAGTAACTGTTACCTCTGGAGATACTGAGTGCTAGAAGGATTTCCAGTCCTTTTTACTTTTAATTAAAGGTTGTGAACTAACGGCCTTAGGGTCAAATTCATCTCACAGGTTTGTTTGATTCATGCAGGGTTTTAAAAATTTTAAAGAATTTGTTGTTAATGTTTAAAATTCAGAAGATTTCACTTAAAATTCCCAGATTCTTGGCTTTTGTTAACAGTGTGTAAGAACTGCTTGGTATCATTGCATCTATTTTGCTATCTGACAGTAGTTGGTCTGTGCTGATTGAGGTATGTGTTCTCTAGTTTGCAATAATTCCTAACACATTCTGTTATTCTGACCAACTACTGCCATGAGTTGTTGCCTAAACGTTAAAGCTGAGTATCATTGCCATTTGTTCATGTTCTTAACATTTCTGTTAAATATCTGTTTATTTTGACCCATCTTTCCGGCATGTGTAGGCTTTTGAGCTTGTGGTCCTTTCTTAAGAAGAGTGATTTTTCAGATTGTGGGTTGTGATTTGTTAGTGTGTATTGAACACAATTTGTAGATCACAGGCAGTGTTCCAAGAGAAAGGAAGGAAGGAAATTGCAATAATGGTTGGTTTTCAATTGGGGGCAATCTTGCACCTTAGAGGACAATTGCAGTGTGTGAAGACAGTTTTGATTGTCATAACTGGTAGTGGGATGGGAGTGGAGAATGCTAATGAGTAATGACCAGAGATACTGCTAAATATCTAACAATGGACAGGCAACTCTCCACAACAAAGAATTGGCCCCAAAATCTAGCTGTTGAGAAACTCTGATGTAGATATTTTAGTAAGCATTGCTTATAATAAGAATTGTTTTATTAAACTGTTTTATGATATGTGTATTTGTATTGAGCCATAATGTAAAAATACATTTCTTACTGTGGATCACAAACAATAGCTTGACTATCATTCATTACAAGGTATTTAGTCATTGGGGAAAACTGCGAAATGATGGAATAGGGGATTCTCTTTGGCATTCTTCAAGCATATTTTGGGTGCTGAAGAACTGTCTGACGAGTTGTCTCTGCCAGGAACCCTGTGGAATCTCTCATCCCATGACTCAATCAAAATGGAGATTGTGGACCACGCCCTGCATGCCTTGACAGATGAAGTGATCATTCCGCATTCTGGCTGGGAGCGGGAACCTAACGAAGATTGTAAGCCACGCCATATTGAGTGGGAGTCAGTGCTTACCAACACAGCTGGCTGCCTTAGGTAACACAAGGGCTTTGAGAGTATGAAGATTGAATTTTTAAGGACTAATTTAAAATTCCTTAAAAAGAAAGTTCATATTCTTTAGCTTGTCATTTTGCCTCCATTCTATCTCTATTGCAGGCTATGACTCCAACCTGTCTTCCTACCTTTGTCGCTACTTCCTTGTATACCTCATACACCGTGATGTTGGTTACTTACTGTTCCCACATATCCTTGCTTCTGTGCCTCTTTGACTTTGTTCATTTAAGTTGGTAAACATTTGTTCAGTCCCTACCACATGTTCGGTACCTAGTCCTGCATTTGTGCGTCTGCTTTCAGTTATCTGTATTTCAGGTCAGGTTGTGATCAATGCAACAAAAAGAATACAGAGCCCTAGAAGGGTGGGGTGTAGGGTGAAGAAGATCTGTGTTTTTTGTTTGTTTGTTTGTTTGTTTTTCTATTTGTAGTGCCCTTCCTTATATTTCATTTGATGCTAAACTCAAGTGCCTTTATTTTTTGAAAGTTTTTCTGATTTCTTCTTACATTCTATGATTGATACAATACGTTCTTTCTCTCTTTGGGATATTCTCCTATGTGCTCTGCTTCTTTCTTCATTTATACTTATATACAAGAAGCATCTATTCCATCTCTATTAACACCCTCTCTGCCCTCTGCCCCTGGCCTGGTTCTTAATGTCCTGAAAGCAGAGACTATCTTACTTAATTTCAGTCGCAGTGCCTTACCTATTATAGAATATTCATTATTTGTTATAAAAAAGGTAGTGAGGAAACTTGTAGATGTTGAGGGATTTTAAGGGAGGTATTTCTGGATTTGAATCATCTTGTCACCTCTCCTTTTCCCTTTAGGAATGTCAGCTCAGAGAGGAGTGAAGCTCGACGGAAACTTCGGGAATGTGATGGTTTAGTGGATGCCCTCATTTTCATTGTTCAGGCTGAGATTGGGCAGAAGGATTCAGACAGCAAGGTAAGTTAATGGCTGAGTGAATTCCACTTAAAACAACCATCATTCCAAGCTTTTATTTATTTTTAAAAAATATATTTTATTGGCTGAAACCGGTTCGGCTCAGTGGATAGAGCGTCGGCCTGTGGACTGGAGGGTCCCGGGTTCGATTCCGGTCAAGGGCATGTACCTTGGTTGCGGGCATATCCCCAGTGGGGGGTGTGCAAGAGGCAGCTGATCGATGACTCTCTCTCATCGATGTTTCTAACTCTCTATCTCTCTCCCTTCCTCTCTGTACAAAATCAATATTGAGGGATAGAGAGCTAGAAACGTCGATGAGAGAGAGTCATCGACCAGCTTCTTCTTGCACACCCCCTACTGGGGATGTGCCCGCAACCAAGGTACATGCCCTTGACCGGAATCGAACCCGGGACCCTCCAGTCCACAGGCCGACGCTCTATCCACTGAGCCGAACCGGTTTTGGCTCATTCCAAGCTTTTAAATAATATTAGATACCTATACTCCCTAAAATGGGTATTCACTTTAGGAGAAACTTGTTTTTTAGGATTTTTTTCACCTCTGTACTTTAAGCTCTTTAGCCATACTTCCAGGGTTGTACATTTTACTAAGTAGGAAAAAGTAAAAAGCTTAAGGAAAAAGACCCTAAGTTTTGTGCCATTCACCAAATGTGTCATTCCATTAGCCAGGGGCTATAGGATTTTGAGATGCTTGGGGCACTTAGAGGCTGTTAGAGTTGATGGATTGGACTATGCTTTTTGGATCAGTATTGTAATATCCGAATTATGGGAAGTCATTAGGCATTATCTTTTCTCATTGAGTCTTTTCTCTTATATTCCCAAGCTTGTGGAGAACTGTGTTTGCCTTCTTCGGAACTTGTCGTATCAAGTTCATCGGGAGATTCCACAGGCAGAACGTTACCAAGAGGCACCTCCCAGTGTTGCCAACAATACTGGGCCACATGCTGCCAGTTGCTTTGGGGCCAAGAAGGGCAAAGGTTAGTCTTAGCTCTTTCCTTCTTGCTCTTTAATGTAGGACCGGGAAAGGAAGGAATGCTTTAAACTTTAGTTGCAAAATACTTGCTGAGCAGTATAGGATCTGGCCCATCAATATGTCCTTGTGCTGTGCTGCTACTTCCCCTGTGTTGTATGCTTTATTCAAGAAGGTGGTGGTGGTGGTGGTGGTGGTGGTGGTGGTGGTGGTGGTGTGGTGTGGTGGTGGTGGTGGTGGTGGTGGTGGTGGTGGTAGTATCAGTCATTGGGGCAGTGAAGGATGAGAACTCAGCTAATCTGGGGCCTTCTCTCCATTCCTCCTTTGTGTTTCCCATGCTTTTCTTTTTCTCTGCTCTCCTGCTTATTTGCTCATAATTCTGTTGACATCTCTCTCCTGCATTTTTCCTCCTTCATTTCTGCTTTCCACCTTGGGTGATACACTGGAAGATGAGTGGTTCTCCAGAGGTGAGTGGAATCTTTTAAGGTGCTTATCTATTTCTAATGTGCATGTTTTGGTTTTAGCTTCCCTAGTATTTCCTTGCCTAACCCTTCCCTGTGGATGCATGTAGGAAAATTGAGGAAGACCACTGAAACAAGTTTAGCTCATCTGAGCTAATGGCCCATGGCATGCTATTTCTGGGCAGCAGTCCCAGTTACTAGAACTCAGGACAATAGCAAAAGCTGTGGTTATCCTTATCTTACCTCTCTGCTGCCTGTTTTCTGTCCTTGTTTCTGCACAACCCCCTGCTGGGACAAGCTGGGGACCTGGATATTTCCCGCCTTTCCCCCCTCCCCCCCATTCAATGCATCTCTGATTCAAAGATTTTGACTAAAGAATAATAATAAAAAAAATGCACCAGGTGGACTCTTCCATTTCTTATACTTTGTATCCCCCCCCCCCTTTTTTTTTTTTTTTTAATTTCCAAAGGGAAAAAACCTGCAGAAGTTCCAGCAAATGACACAGTGGATTTCCCTAAAAGAACTAGTCCTGCTCGAGGTAAGTTATTTTTTCTTTTCAGTTTCCAAGGGTCTCATAAACATATTCCACAGATAACATTTTGGTAGCCGAACACTAGACTATACAATATGCTTACTATTTGTCTTTTCTGATTTATGGATTTGAAGTGATGATGAAAGTATTGAGAAACTATAGTATAGCAGGAACTTGCTTGTTATGGCAACTATTCACATTATTGAGGGTAGGAAGATTTGGATGATTAGAAATTTGGGTACCCTATGTAGCCACAGTAGTTCCTGGGTCTTAAACATTACTTATTATAAGAAGCCTCTTTATCCTAGTTTGGATCTTTATATTCTTCCATACAGTGAATCCAGAATTCCCAGCTCCCCAGGATATAAATTTTTTAGATGTCATTAAATCTACAATAGGCCCTTTTACTTAGTCACAGAAAAGGTGGGAAGAATAACTTGGTCAAGTTAGAAATAATTCATTTGAGATGAGGAATTTTTAACCCTGAGTGCTATCAATGAGCAGATGAATCCCCTAATTACCCATGCCTGGCTGCCAAACGGGGAGAGAAGAGGCAAGGAATGAGGAGAGACACGTTGCAAATGATGAGTTGATATCTGTTCTGCTCTTATCATGATTAATTTTTCTTAAGGAGATGTGGAATCAAGCCCCTGAGTTTGCTGTTAGGTGGGTAGGTGAGTGAGGGAGCCTAATGGTATAGGAGCACAAACCCATCAGTACAGAATAAAGTCTGAACTTCAATCAGCCGTAGCCTGGTTTGTAGGTACTAATTAGTATCCTCTGCTTTCTTGTCCTTTCTTGTGTAGGCTATGAGCTTTTATTTCAGCCAGAGGTGGTTCGGATATACATCTCACTCCTCAAGGAGAGCAAGACTCCTGCCATCTTAGAAGCCTCAGCCGGGGCTATCCAGAACTTGTGTGCTGGGCGTTGGACAGTGAGTACCTTTTAGAAAATGCATTTGGAGGTGGGAGCACTTAGATAACTAGTTTGCGTCCTTTTGTAATCTCTTCCACCTCAATGTGCTACTTTTAGTATGGTCGATACATCCGCTCTGCTCTGCGTCAAGAGAAGGCTCTTTCTGCCATTGCTGACCTCCTGACCAATGAACATGAGCGGGTAGTGAAAGCCGCATCTGGAGCTCTGAGAAATCTGGCCGTGGATGCTCGCAACAAAGAATTAATTGGTAAGGAGTAGGATGTTAACCATTCCCTCAGCATCTAGTACAGTGTTTTAATCCATCAGGTGCTAAGTAATTTATTTATTAAAATGATTAAGAGGAAGGATCCTTCATAGTCTGTGAATGCAAGGGTTGCAAGGGTTTATGCAATTGACCTTGAACAGCATGGGGTGGTCAGCCCCACACGGTCAAAACCACATATAACTTTTGACTCCCCGAAAACTTAACTACTAAATAGCTTATTTTTGACTGGATACCTTAGCAATAACATAAACAGTTGATTAACACATGTTTTATATGTTATATGTATTATATACTATATTCTCACAAAGTAAGCTGGAGAAAAGAAAACGTTATTAAGGAAATCATAAGGAAGAGAAAATACATTTACAATATTTATTTTAAAAAATCTGCATGTAAGTGGATCTGCTGAGTTCAAACCCCATGTTGTTCAGGTTTCAACTGTAATTGAATGGTTCTTAGAAAGACAAGAAATGATGACTCTAAAAATGGAACAATAATAGCTATTATTTTTTTATTTTTAAATCCTCTTCCCAAGATATATTTATTGGTTTTAGAGAGAGGAAGGGAGAGAGAGAGAAACATCGACATAAGAAACATCCATTGGTTGCCTCCCCGATGGATTGGTGGCCCAATCTGGGATCTAACCTGCAACCTTTTGGTGTACGGGATGATGCTCCAATCAACTGAACCATCCACCCAGGGCCACAGCTATTATTTTTAAGTACTTTAGTTTGTTAGTAGGCCTTGTTAAGCACTTCCGTGTATTCTCATTTGATTGTCAGCACTTTGAAAAGGTTCATTTTTTTTTTTTTTTTTTTTTTAATAGGTTAAGGAAACTTCAGGTCAGGTAAAGTAAATAGTATGCTCAAAGTTAAAATACCTCATAAGTGGCAGAGTCCAGATATTTTTTTTTTTTTTTTAATTCATAATGATTATGTTCTCTTGAACTATTATAATATTAAATATACTGTTTTCATTAGAATATCTGAAAGGACTGTGTAGTATTTTTTTATATAAGATTTCATATTATTTCAACCTGACTGGAAAAAGAAAGAGTAAATAAAGAAATAGTGAGGGAAATAAATTCATGGCTATTCTAGGTCCTTGACTCTTTTAATATGGTAATCCTATAGGAGAATGCAATGGATTCATAGGGATAGTACCTATACTTTATATGATCATTGCAGTTAGAGCAGTGTTAGGCTCCTCATACATGACTCGGCTCATTCTTCAAACACACATTCCTTTGTCTCACTTCTATAGGTAAACATGCTATTCCCAATTTGGTAAAGAATCTGCCAGGTGGGCAACAAAGCTCTTCCCAGAATTTCTCTGAGGACACTGTGGTCTCTATTTTGAACACCATCAACGAGGTTATTGCTGAGAACTTGGAGGCTGCCAAAAAGCTTCGAGAGACACAGGGTATTGAAAAGCTGGTCTTGATCAACAAATCAGGGTGAGCTTAACACTTAAGATTACAACTGGAAGAGTTTAAATGTAGAGGGGATTTGTTAGGAAGGAGTGTTTCCTTTTTGCTTCTACGGTTATTTTCCATTAATTACTGTAAAATGTGAAGTGGTATTAATTACTCTTCTCCATCTTGATTCATAAATTAGTAATAGACTTTTCCATTAAATATTTTTATGTCTCTCTTTGGGACAGAGTACAGGACTTGATCTTACCCATTTAGGCATTTATGTTCATATGTTACATTATGTTAGAGAAAACAGGGTCTTAGCTTTTTTCTTGTCTTACATCCAAATTCCATGTGGTGCTATTTTTCTCAAAAGGAACCGCTCAGAAAAGGAAGTTCGAGCAGCAGCACTTGTATTACAGACAATCTGGGGATATAAGGAACTGCGGAAGCCACTGGAAAAGGAAGGATGGAAGAAATCAGATTTTCAGGTAGGGTTACTCTTAGAGTCTGAGGCATTTATCTTTTTCTTGATGTTTGGTTTCTTTTTCTTCTCTGTCACTATCACATTGAGTGTTCTTTTGACCCTGGTCAGTGGTTGTAAAGAAATCATTTGGTTTGCTCCTTTCCCTACATGAATAGTGCTGACAATTCATTTGCTGCCAAAATTGCTCTGGTTTTCCTCTATGTCACAGAGTACTGTGTATACTAGTGGCAATGAAGGATGGGGGCCTTTTTTACTTTCTCCAAGTCTGCAGCAGCCCTTTGATGGAGTTTGCCATTTTCTCAGACGAGGTTTTCTGATAGTACAAGTGTTTGGTATCTTTGTAATCTTCTGTTCAGGAACACATAATATCCTAGTTTGTTTCACTATGTAGGTATTTACTTAACCCTTATTTCTTATAAGAGTTGTATTTGGGAATAGGAACCTAAAGATCTGTGTCCATTAGGGAATAAGATGTGGGTAAATTGAATACTCTGATATTATTGCATTTTATTTTTGCCTTCAGGTGAATCTAAACAATGCATCTCGAAGCCAGAGCAGTCATTCATATGATGATAGCACTCTTCCTCTTATTGACCGGAACCAGAAACCAGGTACAATATCCAGGGGCATACCCTCAGCTTTTATTCCTCCTCTGCTATTCTTTAATGGGCTTATTATCTAAGGAATAGGATATATATTTCTTTTTGAGTGAGCTAGTCTTTGATAGAGAGTAATAATACTTCATTTCAGAAGTATTATAATGCATAAGCTGGTAAGTTTGATCATTTGAAAATAAAACAAAACAGGTAGTTAGTCCAGGTGTGACCCTTGTCTTTGCAACTGGACTTAAAGTGACTGGAAAGTGAACCCTAGTCTCTGTTTTCTCTATCTGAGATATAATTGACACACACATTGTATAAATATAAGGTGTACAACATGATTTGATATATGGATATATTGCAAAATGATTAATTTTTCCTTTTATATTTCCATATAATATCAAGTAATACATGTTTTCTGTTGTAAAATTAGAAAATAACAGGCAACCAGAAAAACAACAAAATCATTTATTTCTATTGCCTAGAGAATACCCACTGCTATTTTGGGTCATATCTTAAAAGGGTTTAAAAACCCTTTTGTTTTATGAGCAAATTTTTCATTTAAGTGTATATTGTAACCATTATGTTCTTATTTTATTTATTATAATCCTTATATTCTTTGTTTTTATTGATTATTTTTAGAAAGAGGAAGGGAAAACTATAGTATATAGAAAGAAATATCTATGAGAGAGAAACATCATTGATTGGCGGCCTCTTCCACACCCCCCACAGGAGTTTGATCTTGCAACCTGAGCATGTGCCCTGACTGGGAATCAAACCATGACTTCCTGGTCCATAGGTCAACACTCAACCACTGAGCCATACCAGCTGGGCATGGATCCTCATAATTTTTAAAACTGTAAAGGGGTCTTGAGACCAAGTAATTTAAAAATTGCTGGTTTAGAGTGAAGGGGTCTTTATATTAGGAGTCTGTTGGGACGGGATTGCGTAAGTCCCATGAGGGCTTTGTCTAGTGCCTGGCACATAATGGATACTCAGTAAAAATTAGATGAGAAGGATGAAAGACAGCTAGAGAGCAATTTTTACGATGAGTATAGATTTTGAAAAGTTCGTTTTTGTTTTTTTTTTTAATAGGAAGAGAGAGGGATAGAGAGTTAGAAACATTGATGAGAGAGAATCATTGATCAACTGCCTCTTGCACAACCCCTACTAGGGATGTGCCCGCAACCAGGTACATGCCATTGACCGGAATCGAACCCTGGACCTTTCAGTCCGCAGGTCGACGCTCTATCCACTGAGCCAAACCGGTTTTGGCCGTTTTTTTTAGTTGGATAATTTTCTGTCTTCATTTAGATAAGAAACCTGATCGGGAAGAAATTCAGATGAGCAACATGGGGTCAAACTCAAGATCATTAGGTAGGTGATTAATTCCCGCCTATGGATATAGAGTATTATTTTGTTGTGATGAGGAGAACTATCTGACTCTGCAGTGTTTTCTAGCACCCTCACTATCATTCTGGAAGAGCATTGACTGGACATTGCCATTTGGAAATTTAATGAAACTTGATCTATCTACTTCCACATTCTCACTTGGCTTGAAGTTAAAAAAAAAAAAATGATCATATGCATCCTCTGTTCCTACAGAACCTAAACTGTTACAGCTTTTTCATAGTCTAATGCTGGGCTCCTTCCCTCCATGTGCTCTGTTTCAGCCCACCTGGTCTGACTTGCTCTTCTATTTCTTCACTGTATACTTCCTTGATTTTGCTCATGTAATACCTCTTACTGGAATGTCCTTCCCATTTGCCTTTCTAAATTCTCTCATCCCCCAAAACTTAACTGAAATCCTGTCTGCTTTGTTAGGCCCTTACTAACTGTGGCACACCTCACTCTCATTCCTTATAGACAGACCTCTTTGTCTGTTTAGCTTTAGTAGCACACAGAATGGGGCAAAAGTAGGTTTACATTTGTGAGTACATAAAACCCAGAGTTTATTCTTATATTATTATTTATTAATTACTGCATATTTTCCATACCAACAACTAAACCTACTTTTGCCTATCCTGTCTTTCATACTCCGCATATTTCATATATATTGTCTTCCCAATTAGATTCAAGTTCTTTTAGGTCAGGGGCCACCAGACCTTAATGCTTTTCTGGAGCATTTGGCAAAGTTCAGTTCCTAACAGGCATCTAATTCACACTTAATCTGCTTAATATATAGTATACACTAGAGAGGGGTATCATGTTTCTGTGTGCTTCTTTCTTTAGATAACAACTATCCTACAATGAATGAGAGAGGGGACCACAATAGAACACTGGATCGATCCGGGGATCTAGGCGAAATGGAGCCATTGAAGGGAACACCCCTGATGGTAAATTTTCTATGTACTGTTGTCCTTCTGTAGCTGATTCTGTTTTGAAGCCTGCATGTTTGTGAAGCAGGGGGGGGAAAAAAAAACAACAAAAAAAAAAAACAACGCATCCTCTTCTGGTAGGGGCTTTTGGGAAAAGTAGGAGTTTTGACTCCTATTAGGATTTCTTGGGCCTTTATGCTGCGATGTTCGATCGAGATGGGGGCAAGAAGACTATAAATGTGTTACTGACATGACTAACACTAACTGATCTGTTCATAAACATCACTCTCTTTCTGTCCCTACCTGTGTTTTCTTAAAATCTTGCCCTTCTCTTACTATTACCCTGTTTTGCTCGAGTTCACGGATTTGGGCATTTTCCCTAGATCCTTGGGCGGCAAACTGCGGCTTGCGAGCCACATGCGGCTCTTTGGCCTCTTGAGTGTGGCTCTTACACAAAATACCATGGCCTGGGCGAGTCTATTTTGAAGAAGTGGCATTAGAAGAAGTTTAAGTTTAAAAAATTTGGCTCTCAAAAGAAATTTCAATTGTACTGTTGATATTTGGCTCTGTTGACTAATGAGTTTGCCGACCACTGGTCTAGATCTAGCACATACTCACACAGTTCCTATTTCCTTATTCCCATACTAACAAATTGCATGTGTTCACAGCAGGTCGAGGGACAGGAATCTCTGGAGGAAGAATTGGATGTGTTGGTTTTGGATGAGGAGGGGGACCAAGTGTCTTTGCCCCCCATGGTATGTTCTCTAGCCACCCCCAAGATCATCGCTGAGACAGGAGGCCCTGTGTGCCAGTGGTTTGCCAATCATGCTGATCTGATCAGGCCAGAGACACAAGTCTCAGCCACGTGGTGCTTGGGGTGCTTTTCTGTGATTATTGCCTAAGAGGCTGGTGCAGGCCGTTGGTGATCTGATTCTTCATTATGTGCTACTTTCCTTTTTCCAGATTTGTCGACTGACTTTTGGTTCTTACTCCCAAACCTATTAACATTTCCTTCTCTTTTTTTCTTACAGCAGAAGATTTAGCATCACGATCTCTACTACATCTGGGCATATAATATATGTACTTTTATTTTTTGGTGGTGAAATGGACTGATGATTTTCCCCTTTCTTCGCTGGACTATTGTGCCAACCGCCAGGCTGCCTGTCCTAATAGCCCTAAGTGGCTGCCTTCTTTCCATCAACTCCTTCTTCCAATGAAGCTTAATTGTTCCTTCTCCCACCCCAGATCCTCTCCAGTTGCTCCCAAGAACCCTGACTCAGTTGTATGCATATCTTGAGAACTGCTGCAGATTAGCTCTTTTGCCAGCTCTCTCTGGAACTCTTGGCCTCTGCGGAGGGAGAGAGAGAGAGAGAAGGGGAGACTTCATTGGAAGCTGTGGGAAGAATTGGAAGTCACATGCTATATATGCATTATACAGCAATCTGATAAACCGATGATTCTTAATAGAGATTTTTTTTTTTCCTGGTGGGGAAGGGACTTTTTGTTTTTGCTTTTGTTTTGTTTTGTTTTTGATGGGAAGTGTGAGCTCTTCCTTATTCCTAATGACTATTTTTGAAGCAAAGAAGGCTGGCAACATTGGCACATATCATCTGGCAAGGGCCCTTGAGTAAGGAAGGTCTCCTAGAACCGAAATTAAGAAACCTGGCTCTCCTCATCTCCAGTGCAGGGACCATCAACGACTTACAGACTCCATCTCTTCTCCAAGCCTCGTGCCAACCGGGGGATGCTGCTGCTGTCCCTTACCGAGGCCATCCTAGCCCTCCTCTCGCATCCTATGATAATGTCTGCTAAGTTGGCTTTGCCATTTGCAAGAGGCTGTAGAAAGAGGAGAATGTGTCCAGGAAGACGTTTTGGGTGAGAAGGAGCAGAAAGATGTCTTCTGGGGAGGAGAAGGAACTTCTAGGAGCAGATAGTAGGGATGTACATGAATCAGTCTGAAACTGGCAGGAAGCTTCATAGCTGGCTTCCCCCTGCCCTATTCTCCTTTTCCCACCCAGATAGCTCTGCCCTTCCTGCCTACTCCCTGGATTGGTTAGTTGACTAAAGGACTTGATGTACATATTTCTGCCCCCTTTACCCTAAAAGGTGGGGGTGGACCCTGGCTTTGCCTCTTCTTTGTGCCTTTGGCCTGGGATGCACCTCCTCCTTCCCTTCCATGTGCCTTTCTTTGCCTCTGCAGTTTCTTTTCTCATGATTTTGCAAATTCCATTTTGTTGATTTCTATCCACTGTTGGCCCTAAATAGAAGAGGAGAGGTGACTTAGAGACCCTCAGATCCTCCAGTGGGAATTGGTGTACCCTCTAATTTCAGCCATTGCAAGCTTTTTGCTCAACAATTTATAGTTGGGATTTTGCAAAAATCCTGCTCTAATGATAACAAAATGAGGTTGGTAGAAGGAGTTAGTGGTATTACTCTTATTCCTTAGTTGTCTAGAGTATACCATAATCTCTGAAGGGGTTTCAGGGAATTCATGCCTGCCCTCCACCCCAAGATACCTCCTCATTTCAGTTTAGTGTATATTAGCTGTTTGGGCGAGAGGAATCAGCTGCTATGCTGGTTGATTTTTTTTTTCCTCCTTATTTTTAAATCCTTTTCCTTACTTGCCTTTGACTCCTCCCCTTAATCTAAAAGCTATGTTCAGTGCAAACTGGAAATAATTCATCCATCTTTCTCCCCTTATATATGGAGAGTATGGGGTAGGAGAAAAATGCACAACCCATTGGCCTCTTCCCCTTCCTCTATGCATTAAAATCCCTTATTTCCCCTTTTCTGTCTTCCCATTTCTTCCCACTCCTTTTCTGGCAAAAGGAGTCTTTTCCTCCTTTGACCCTAAGAGCATACTGCACAGGGGAAACTGCCCCCGTTCTTTGACCTGATCCACTCTTGGTTTCCTTTGTCCTCTCTGCTCTTTTGCTGGTGCTCTTTTTATTGGTGGGGTGTGGGTAATAGAACAGCCATGGGCTTTTGGGGACCTTTAAGTGTCTTTTTTTTTTTTTTCTCCCCCCGTTTATAGAAACACTAAACATACAATTCCAGAGAACCAAAAATTGCACCTTCCCACCGAACACTACTAAGGGGCATGTCTTCTGCCCCATACCTTTTCTGTTTTTCTTTTTCTTGTTAATGCTTTTAAAAACAAATGAGTTTTTTTATATAAATAAAGTTTTTAAAGTGTGTATGTGGGAGAGTCTGTGTCATTTCTTCACTTCAAGCTCCTTTTCATCTTGGTTACTTTCTTATGTATTGGTGTGTGTGCTGCTTTTTCTCTCCAAAGCACCAAGAGGGGGGTTGTACCAGGATGGGTTTGTTTTGAGCTCAATCTCAACTTTATCAAGCAACATTCTTTTTTAATTGTATATGAAACATTTTCCCTCTGAAGATTCTTAAAAATTATATGTGACTAAGTCGAGCCTGAGAAGCTTATTGCTAACTTAGAGATAGGAAAGTGAAGTATAAAGAGTTAATGACTTCCTTAGTTACAGGGATTTCTTTTTTTCTCAACATTTGACAAAACCAACATTTAATAAAGCCCATTGCAATACAAGGCCCTCTCAAACGTAACATTTATGGGTAGAAGATTAGAAGCTACCAACTCCACTAACCTTTTAATAATTATTAAAATATAGGATTAAAAGGCTTAGGTTTAGAAATAATAAGAACTGAGCCATACTGTAGCTTCTCTGGCTATCTGTAACCCTTTAGTAAGAAGACAAGAGACAGGCCTGTGGCTTCCTTTGTGTTCTACCAAATATGTGCGTGGGTAGCAAATACTTGTTGGATTACCAGGGATTGTCTTTACTGCAGTGATCAGGGATTAAGACATGTGGAAAGACATTTTTTTTCTGGAGTCCATATTTCCTGTTTTATAATAAAAAGATGAGAATTTATGTAAAATGTCTCTGTATGCCCAATCTTTAGATTAAAAAAAAAATACAGCTGCTTCTGATGATGGTCATGTCTTAGTTATGTTGAATAGGTCTTGGGTATGAAAACTTTCTTGGGCTAGGAAATGTAAGCATTATAACTGATACCATTTAAAGTTTGATAGTTTTGTTTTAGGTTATAAGGATGAAGCACAGAACCAAAAACACTATTAAGAGTTTGCTTTCCAAAAAGGTTTGGTATCCATACCTAAGATAGTGTTTTTTTTGTTTGTTTTAACCTATATAAATACCTAGTTGCTGGTGGCCTTTATTTCTATCATATTTTTTATTACCCACTGAAATTGAGCTATATACAAACCTTACTTTTCTCCCCTTTATCTGGGTTGGTTCATTTGTTTTATTCAACAAATATTTACTGAGCATCTTCTATATGCCAGGCATTGTTGTGGATGTTAGATTTTAGAGACAAGCATCCACATCAATGTCTAACATATAGAAGATGCCCAGTTTTTCTGGAAGAGGTTATAGGTTATGCTCAACCACTCTTCTGCCTTAATGAGGCTTTTATTTTATGGTGAACATGTTTGTAAAACCAATTGTAATGCTTTTTGCTGTGACGTATTTTCTGACAGCTGATGCTGTATCCATTGAGCCAAACCGGCTAGGGCAGGATTCTAAAAATCTTGTAAGTCACCTGGTTTATTCTAATGTGTGTGGTTAGTTACAACTTGAGACACTGATCTGGTGACTTGCTTAAGGTTCCAGCCTCTAACTGGAATCCAGCATGACTAGCTCCAACTCCATTGGTAGTGGTGTGCGGTATGACCAAGTAAGGGAGAATTCTAGAGGGAAGAATGTCTGTCTCCCAGGAATGAATTGCTTACTGTAGAATTTGAGGTAATAGTAGTAGGCTGATGTGTATCTTGTGGGTTGGAGAAACTTCTTATCTTGCAAACTATTATGTAGGTAATGCTAGGCTGCTAAGAGGTGAAGCTAGTCTTTGAAATGAGGCTCTCTATTGGCATCGAGATTCCCCTGGAGTTGTTGACTTGGACTAAAGTGTCACTTCTGGCTACAAAGGGTATCTGAACTAGGGAGCCAATGATTTGGGAACTTAAAATCACTCCTGAGGGACAACCTACCTCAAGAAATAAAGTACAAAAAAAGTAAGAAAAGATGATGTAGGAGCTAATTTCTTTTTCATGTAAACTTATGACCTCTTACCTTTCTGTTGTCTGTCTCCCTTAAAGTATTAGTTCTTTGGCAGATCCACCCTGAATTTAGGGACAGACATGGGTGGAGAGAGAGGCTGGAGGAAGTGAGGTAGGAAAAGCATTGGTGAAAAGGATTATTTTAGTCTGACCACATTATTATACTGTTGACATGAAAACGTCCAAACTTGAGAAAATTTTTATAAAAATTTACTTGAGGCAAACAGGATATACCTAGAAGCAAGACCTTAATAGACTGAGAAAAATACTTCCTAGACAGTTTGCTTTTGGAATTGAGGGAACCTAAGGAAGAATAAGTGAAGGTGGGAGAAAGCAAGGTGGGGGATTTCATTATGTGTTCCCTGGAGGGTGGTTGTACCTTCCAGGGTCTGAAAAGGATTCCTCCAGCATTTCAAAGGTGTGTTAACCTAGGTACACGTGAACAGTGGACAGGGCTTGCTTAAGGCAAAGATAAATCATTTACTAAAGTTCTAGGTCTATGGGCATGACTATCCACCATGACCTCCCCAGTTAGGAAATTATGAACACATCACCCTGGAGGTTGCTTTCTGTAGAACCCCTTTCTCATCCAAAACCTCCTTTTATATTGTCTGAAGTGGTTAGGGCCATCTATCCACAAATGGATTGAATCAAGAGCTTTATACCTGTTAGTAGTAGGAGCCATATTACTACTAACAGGTATAGTACATGGCAACTAGCTTTTGGTTTCTTTTTAGTTTAGGAAAAGTGCTATACTTCTCTCATATTCAAGTCTATTGTCGAAAGGACAGGTTCTTCCACTTTGAGGATACAGAAGGGATTACTTTATTGCTTCTCTCCAGATATCTTTCGTGCTATTGGACAAAGAATCTGAATGCCTTAAGTCATTTGTGCCTGAGGAAAAGAAAAAAGTATAAGATATCCATG